TCATAAACTTTAGTCCTCTGTTTAGGAAACTTCTGACCTTCAAGATGTGTATATGTATATGTGCTTCTACATATGCCACGTATGCATGTGTGTGTGCATGTCTGCATATACACATTGTTTTCAGCTTTGCATGTTTTCTTGGTATCAGAAATGGGATGGCACTATGAAGCCTGAAATCAGAGAAACCTGTAAGAAAAGAAATACTGTGTTAAAAGTCTTGACACCAAAGATTTTCCACAAGCAGAGGGAAACTTCATAGTTAAAATGCATTTTAAGGTTTTTCACGTGTCAGGTGCCCTTTTATCTATAACAATCTTTTTGAAAAGAAGGGAATTATTAGTGTTTGGTAGGCTTCTCTTCAAAACAGATACTGTAAAGATCCAAGTCTTATTTTCTCTGCATCAGAACAACCAAGGAGATAAAGTGGAAGGCAATAGTGAAAACATGATCTGGATAATTGGTTACAATGGGATCTATATGTTAAAAGAGAAAGTTCTACTGGAGGACTTGAGGAAGAGAGGTTATCTTCTGTTTTTGTTCACCAGCTTAATTTTAAATGATGATAAATCATCTAGTCTGTGTCTGGAAGCAAAGTGGTTCTGGAAGACCTGACAGCAGTACCGTTAGTGTACTTCACAACTATTCACAGCTGTAGTGAAGATGCAGAAGCAAGTGTAGCAGTAAGACAAATGTAAATCAAAAAGACAAGCAGCTGTTTTGTCATAAGATGACTGAGAAGTACTCATGGAGCTATATAATAATAATTTGAATATATTTTTTATGACTAAGTGGAGTAATGTTTCTATTTCATTACTTGTAGAGACCTAATGTGCAATGCTAGAGAACGTTTAGGCAGTTACTAGGTATGTATGAAACCACTTCTAATGTTCCACCAGCTTTATTGTGTGCTTATCATGCCTATAATTTTTCAGACGTTTTCATTATTACTGTTAACTAGCGTGTTTTGGGGTTTTTTAAGACTTATCTGTTCAGAAAGCATAAATAGATCACCATATTATTTTGCTGCAGAGTTATCACACCCTGCTAGTGAAAAAGAGAACAAGCACTCAATTATAGGATGTTCTTATAAAATACAGGATGAATATTTGAAATAAATAATATATTCACAAGTCAGAACAGACTTGCAAATAAATTTCACTAAAAACGTAGGCCTGAATCAATGAATGGTGGAAATGGAAAATTTTTGAAGATCTTTTTAGAAAGAATGGATGAAGAAAAGAAATGGATGTTAGGTGATTAGAGAGGAAAGAAGAGGGAATACAGATAGGTCAAACCACTGCTTCTCCACGAAACTAAATTCCTAAATTGACAGCAAAATGGCTTTAAATTGTAGACAACTTCAATTTTGAAATTTAGCATGAATTTTCTGACATGATAAGGTTTATAAAAGCAAGGATAAGGGCTTTCTAAAATGTTAACAATTAAGTTGTTGCAACTCTTACTACTTTGTACTTTTCAGTAATATGCAGCACAGAACAGTAAGACCTGTGGTTGTGAGTCACTGCTGAATATGTAGACATGTTTGGTTCAGCAGGGATTCATGCTCTGACTATTTCAGCATTCTGGAAATTTATTCTGATTTTATTGCATTGGAACCTGGATGTATTGGGCTGCTTTTCTTTGGAACTGATTGGTTTAGAATCATGGTCACTGAAATTATTTACCATTTGGTAGTTCTTTACATCTCTGGCTGTCTCTTTGTCTATATCTGGCCTTTAAAGCTCTTTTGTTTGAAATAGATGTCACTTGAACTTCTTTCATGTTACTCTAAGTCCTGCACACAATTTTTTACCTCCACTCCCAAGTCAAGGGAAAGAACAATTCCCTTGCTGAACAGAAAATACCAGACCTTGCTTGGAAGACATTCTTTAGTGGATAGGCAGAGGCAGAAACATTTGGGAGTTAAATTACTTAAGTGACTATGACAGGATTTTTTGAGATGATTTATGCATTTCAGTGAGACAAAGCACTACACTGTGAATACCATAAATGAAACATGGCACATCATGTAACCATTAAGGTCTTTAAAGATGCTCAGCAGAGAAAACTGGAATTGAGTTCTGGAGAACATAGAAAAAAACCTCTTGGTATGTTGGTGAAACTTGGTATGGGTTTGTTAATTAGGAGTTTCATGGATAGAAAGGATCACATTTCCCTTGTAGTAGGTATTGGCATCTTTGGAAGCACAAAAGTCTTCTTAACAGCACCAAGAGCTGTAGTCCTTGAAAAAGCCTTAGAGAATTGCATACTAAGTGGGGAAAAAAATAGTAAAGGCATATATCTTCCATACAATTTTGACTCCAGATTATATATCACCCTGTACCTGCATGCTTCATTTTTTACATGCACTTTTAATTTCATATTCATGTACAGTCAATCAGATTATGATGTTTCTGTTACTATTTTGATAATACATTTATGCTTCTTTAATTGAATGAAATGTTCAACAGTATCAGTATGGTACAAATATTTTGTTTAGGATGCCTTATATATTTGGGGGACTGAAGTTTTAGACATTTCTATGGAGAAATAAGTTGCCAGGGGACTTTAAGAACAGGCTGGAAAAGCAGGAATAGTTACTTTGATTTTTGTTAGCGCAGGTAGATAAGTGAGGTTGGCCACTCAGGGTGCTTTCTAGTTCTGCAGTTCTCTTGAGAAATGAAAAATAATGCATATTCCTGACTTAGTTAACAGAAACCAACAGTAGTCATCTCAGCTGGTGATGTGAATCTGCAGGTTAATCCACACGCAGATGATGAATAGCCAGAAAGCAAGTAAGACATTACTGGTTGTGTTAAAATCGGACTTGTTCTGAATACAGCTAGAGATCTAATGTTATAAATACTTCATGTCTTAACTCAGCTTTGTTCCTTAGCAATCATCTCTCATCCTCTGAAATGCAGCAGCAGAAGTTAAGTTTAATAATTAAAATTTTAGAATTTATTGTAACCACTTCTTTTCATCTAAAAAAATAGCTACAGCTTTGTCAGTGTCATCTTTCATTAAATTATTTTCAAACAGTTTTAGCTGGATTTTTTTTTGTTAGCAAAAAATACTGTGGCAGTTAGAGAATTGAAGCCAGATTTAGATCTTAGTAAATTGCCCTTGATTTATACCATTGTAATGGATATCAGAAACCAGCTCATATACAACAGAACAGTAATAGCCACTTTATTGATGTAACTATTGTACAAGCAGAGGTAAGGCTCCAGTACACTGGAGGAATGCCAGTTTTGCAAAGGAAAAAATGCTTCTTTCAGAAAAAAACTATGAATTTTCATAGTAAAAAACCAAGATGCCACCTTACTTCTCCATCTGAGTAATGGGAGGGGTGAGGAGATCATGAAAATACAGAGGTTTCATAGCAACCCAGTTAGAAATTTCATTTTGTTTCTTATGTTTTCGCAGTTCTTCATCAGCATTAGCTCCAAGAGCTGTCAACCTCCACAGGAATCTAATGGAAGAGAAGTAGAGGGAGTGCTTTCATTTGGAGTTTTGTATCCACCTGAAACTAAATGGAGGTTGCATTGTTGCTAGAGGTCATGCTTTGAGGAATTTGTGCAGAACTTGCTAGGAAAACTGATTTTTGGATATGATACCAAAAAGATACCTGGTTTACAAATCATGCATGCTTAGCAGGAAGCTGGTGTTTCCAATTCTTCATTTTTATTGCATGTGCTTTCAAGCTGAATTACTCAGGAGTGAATGGCTTTACATTTGAACACGCCTTTGACTTCTTAGTAGAGTTAAGCTAGGTGTTTTGTTGTAGTTTGCTGTCAAAGAGCACTTGGGAGTGTCCTCTGTGGGTCTGTCTTCCAAGACAAGCCTTTGAATCTCAGGTTTCTGTACTCTGTGAGTCTGATTTGAAAACTAGCAGGAGCCTTTCTGTTAATTTGAGCAGAATTTAGCTCAGCCCACTGTGTAGCCATGAAAGACCCAGTTAAGAGTGAGGCTTTGTCTCAGTGTTTCTCTCCATGTGCTATTGCCAGCTCTTCTCACCAATGCATTGACAGACAGATAGGCTGCATTTAGTTGTGCTGCAACTATGGACTTCAGAAATGTTCTTTGATGTCAACCTGGAGAAAGGTGATGCTCAGAATCTCTCTGTATCTCTGTAGATTTTGGAGAAAGCAAACCTCCTAAATCTTAGAACTGCTCAGTTCCTGTCTAGGTAAATGGAAAGCATTGCTGTATTTGAGATCCGCATCAGCAGATCACATCTGCACTTGTATTCATGAGCAAAAATCTTTGACATATTTTTGACAAAAGCATGAATCAGATATTTTTTTGGTTGTGCTAAATATCACAGGTGGTATACCTTGGTTCTTCTCTCCCAAGAGGAATAATTACTCAAGATGCTAGAAATTTGTGTGTTCTGATCTCTTTGTCTGTTTGCCAGATGTAATTCAAGTAGACGAAAGTGTTTGTGCCAGCTCTGTACATAAGCTCACTGCAATGGCATGCTTGCTTCAAAGAACAGAATTTTGGCAAATAGATATGAACCGATGAACTGATTTTTATTCTGGGATCATAAGCCTGAGAATTGCTCAGCAAGCCATTTATCTGTATGGTTTTCAAGGACTTGACTAAAATAAAACTATCGTTCCAAGATGTCTTTCTCAAATAATTTTTAAGTTGAAATGTCAAAAGAGCTGTTGGAGTTTAAATATTTAAGCAATCCTGACCTATCAATATATTTTAGGGATTTTTTTTTTCCTTCTGTGTCATCCTTGAGCACTTCCTTTTTGCCACAAGTTATGATTAAAAGCTGTGGAAGTTAATAGAAATTACACATTACTCTGAAACAGAGACATGGGCTCTGCTGCCTGTGGTCTCTTTCCCACAAGCTTGTGAGCTTTATCCTCAATGTCTTTGCTGGAGACCATCACCTCCCATGTGGTTAAGTGTCTGCAGTAAGAGTCTTTAACACGACGAACAGATGTATGTAATAACCACCTAATGTTTTGCTAGGTTTTGCAATGGAACAGGTATGGTTACTGCTCCTGCTGACGATTAAAGTGCTTTCAGTGACTGCTCAGTTCAATGGATACAACTGTGATGCTAACCTCCATAGCAGGTTTCCTGGTAAGTGTTTAATAGAGTTTTTTTTTTTCTAATGGCATCTTTATTGTCTTGGTTCAAAGCAGTGTTTGTTTTTAAATACAGAGCTTTAAATCTGTCTGAAGCCTGGGGATAGGACTCCACATTAAGTGAGTGTTAACTATCTTGGTGACAATGAAACTCCTCTAATGTTGCACTTTCTTCCCAATTGCACAATGCGTCAAATTCAGCCTAGTGGTAATGAAGACAACTTCCCTCGCATCTGTTGGATTTGACCTGCTTTTCCCAGAGCTCTGTCCTGTCCAAGGAATTCACCAGATATCCTGTTATTGTAAATGTTCTCTATAGATTTAAGAGCCCGAAACTTCTATCTGGGTTTTCTTTCATCTTTTATCTGGGTAAGAGAATATAATTATGTCCTTTTAGTGACATATGGAAATATATATCCATTTTTGAGCAAAATGAAGCCTATGGTGCTTCAATTTGGTGCCTCAGTTTAGTGCCTCACTTCAAGTGCTTTTTTAGGGACAAATGAAGCAATGGGACATATCTATGTATAATATACCCTCATGCCTCTGAGAAAATGGGAATTAAGTAATTTTGGGGACTGGAGCTGTTAATACAATGAGAAATAGAAATGAAATGTCAGTCTTAGTGACACATGTATCGGAGTTTGCTCAGCTAAAGAATGCTTTTAGTCTCTGTTACATTGCTTATCCTTCCTGCCTCAGTTGTTTCTTGGACAGAATAATGGTAATAATAATAATAGAAAAGGCTGTGAATACTGGCTTGCTCACATCATTGTTTCTGAGGTAGCAATTGAACAGTATAGAGATAAACTCTGAGTATTATGCTATAGTACTTTTCAGTGTTGTTGCTTTCTGAATAATAATAGTTTTGACTTTTCTTCAGGAAAGATCATAGAATCATAGAATCATAGAATGGCCTAAGCTGGAAGGGACCTTAGAGATCATTTAATCCAGCCTCCCTGCCGCCAGGGACGCCGCCTCTCAACTAGATGAGGCAACAAATGGGGACCATCTCTTTTATTAAACTTGTCAGCAGAAATCCTGTAGACTGTTTATTGTTGCCTGTGTTACCACCACACTGCTAGATGCTTTGTTGACGTAAAGACCAACAATGGGTTTGACCCTTTTTCACTTAGTTGATGTGAATAGGAAGAGTAGAGAAATAGAACATGCAAAGATGATCAAATATGTTGTCTCCATCCCTGACAAAATCACCATTTGACTATTTCATAAAGTACTTCTACATTCCACTTCTTATGTAAAAGTTTTTCAGTCTTGCCTCCAAAGCATGAATGATGTGTGCCTACCTGCCCCAGATCTACCTTTCATAGTTTTTCAAGTAATTGCTTTTCTGTTTCATGCTTCTTGAGAGGACTGCAACAACTAGCAGGAAATTTAAATTCCTCTTTCTGTGCTTTAAAAATTTTTCTCTGGTCATTTTTTGCACCAGCCCTGTGCCAAGGTTTTATATTTGCAGTATGATACCCCTGAACTGAATCCAGCTTCTGTTGTGGGGCCTCTTGCAGTTCTGCCTCATGAAGAAAGGTCATATCAGATTCCATGTCTGCTGAATCTTAGGGGCTCGAGAGAAAATCTGTTTGGGTTACAAGTAAACAGATATTTTAAAAGATATTTTAAAGTAAATGCTCATCACTCATACTGCCTGTAGGAGCTGAGAGTGGAGTCGTCTTGCTCTTTCTTGTTTGTGATCTCAGAAAGTGAAGATTCAAAGGCTGGAGTTTATCAACAGCCTTAGTGCTGATTTTGAGAGCAAGGGGAAAAAAATAGCTTCTTTTTGCTAGTCATATGTTTGAGGTGGAGGTATAAAACAGAAAACTTTTGTCCCCATATTTGTCAGGTATTATTTTCTGTATGCAGAAGGGACTACTAGGTCACAAGCTGGGGCTACTGGAGCTGAGCGAGGCTGCTAGAGCTCTGTTTTCTGGGGCCAAGAACCCCAGAAGCTGGGTGAGAGAGCCTCTCCATGGACAAGGGCCTTACTCTGGGTACATTTACTTCAGAAGTGCTTGGTTCAGGCTGCGGCTTTGGAGGTGCTGGCCTCACCGCCTTCAGAATTCAAATGTAAGGGGAGTGGTGAGACAGAGGTCAAAAGGAAAACGCTTCAAAACAAGAATCTCTCCAGGCTGAGATACTCCTCAAAGAACCTGCTTATGGGTTGACTTTCTTCCCATTCCTTATTTGTTCCACACAAGGAATCTTCATTGTTGTCGGCTGAAATTCCAAACATGGGGCAAGAACAGACTTTCTTGCTGAGGTCTGTGGTGTGCAGATACCAGCAAAACCGTTGGGTTTTGAAGTTGTCTGCTCTTTCTCTTTTAAATGTTATGAAGAGCAAAAGTTGTCTTCAGCAAAGATGAGAAATTAAGCCTTCCTAAAGGAACCTTGGAGCTCATCCATTTTTCATTTGTTTGTGCTTTTATCATTCATTGCTTAGATGACTTCTTGAATAGGGATGGTACTGCATAAATAGGATGATAAATAATCAGGCAGGACTTTTGTTCCTGCAATTTCAGGTTTGTTTTAAAGTGCAGGTATGCAGTAGCTGGCGAGGATGAAGGAATCTACTGCCATATTTGTGACTTTTTGTACCAAAGCTAGACGTATTCTAGAAAGTATTAATAAGGTTAGATCCTGCCATCCTTGAGAGAGTTACCTGGAGAGAAAAAAAAGCTTCAGTTTTGCATTGCAGTAAAGCATAGCTTTTAGAAGGCTTTTGGGGGATGGAGCCAGAGCAGACCGGCTCCTCTTCAGATGAGAAATCACAGCTTTGATTCAGGGGGCTCTTGCTGTAAATACATAGTGAGAATTTAGTAGAAGCTAAGAAAATATTGCAGATTTTTCACATACACTATGCCTTTTAATTCACTATCAAAGCAGTGATTTGATCAAAGAGGAGGCTCATGAAGAGAAGCTTATTCTGAAGTGTCTTTACACACCTCTTCTACTGGAGTGATTTTTGTCAATAGTGTTCTGTGACAAACTCTTGTCCTCTGCAGGTTTTTTGCTGCCTGCTCTGAGGTGAGCCTTGGCAACGTGTGGAGGCGTAGCAGAGCAGAAAGAGGCAGTGGAGCTGTCAGCATTTGGCTCATGTTGCCACGAGTCTGTCCTTGATTCAAGGTCCCTGTTTCTGTATTACCTATGTACCTCTTGAGGTTTACTCTGTTCTGCAGGTGGCAACCCTGCGAGTACTGTTGACTAGGAGTAGTTGTGTGATTTCAGTGAGAAAGAAGCCAAGTGATTTTGCCTGTATGGAAAGTCCGAGACAAAGAGGTTGTTATATTTAAGGCTCCGTCAGCTGGGTGACATAACCTTTAGACCATTGTTCCTCTCTTACTTAGAAAGCCAGAAGCTTTTATAAATATTTTTTGTTGAAATATATACATGTATAGGAATAATATCTATTCTCCTAGACTCGCAAGAAATGAACTAGACATTTAGTATTTAAAGCATCATTAGATCATTTGTGCCTGGTTTCGGATTAATTTCTGAACAAATGATGTTATTATAATTCCAGAATGGACTAATTTGGCAACAGTGCTTCCTTGTAAAGCAGTGGGCAGAAAAGGTTCAGTTTGGAAAGGTCATTTGTCCTCCTGTATAGCACAGAAGTTGTTTTTGTACTGTATGGTCTCATTTCCCTTAGTGTCAAAGGAGAATTTTGCAAGCGGTAATGATACCTTAACAGGTGAAGTAATATCCTGTTTTTTACAAGACTTGAAGTGAGGTATAAAATTAACTGTGCTACTTTGTATTACATCCTGCAATTTGTTACAATCTGACTGTTTGTTCATTGGTCCGAGTAAGCATAAGGCACGCTGTGCTGTTTGCTTTTTTGTACCGTTCCCTCTACCTTAGTATACCAATTAAATGGATCATTACGATCCTCACGTAGTGAAAACCAAGGCATGCTGCTTCTTGATTTTTGTGCATTATATTAGTGGAACTACGTATATGCACAAGCCAGGAGAATTTCATGCCAAATCACTTCAGCTCCTGTCTTGCCTCCAGTACCTTTCTGCCCAAATGTACACCTAGTGAGTAACATTTATCACCACATTAGCTCAGGACTGAGTTTAGCCTGTCATTTCCTGCACTTGATCGTTTTGGCTTTAAAGCCACCATTAAAGCTGTCTAAATTAAACTGTTTGTGCTTCCGTACCATGGGGGAAGAGCTAGTTCATTGTAATGGAGATTTCATTTCCTCTGTGTTGTGACAATGCAGTGAAACAATTCATTTGAGCAGGCTTAATGGTGTAGTATTGACTTAAGTTGTTCTGCAATTTTTAATAGCACTTAATCTTTAGGCAGATGTAATAAATGAGTTGTTATATAAAGGAGTAATGTCTGTGTTTAATACGATGCAGTATGTCTTTTTGTAAAGCAGTAGGGGGAAAAAACAAAATATCCTCGAAGTCATCTACAGGGCGAGAAGAGATTATAGATTAGCTCAGTGGTTTGAGCGCGGTGCTGACAATGACAACACTGAGGTCGCGGGTTTGATTCCCGCTCAGTCCCCATGTGTTGCCTGGTCTAGTCGAGATGTGGCGTCCCTGCCCATGACAGGGAGGTTGGACTAGATGATCTCTTAGATCCCTTCCAGCCCATGCCATTCTATGACTATGATTCTATGAAAAGCTATGTCATAACTCTAAAGCAAAACAAACTATTGCTTGTGCCTATATCCTAACCTGATGCTTTTCCATTCAGGTACATAAAAATCTTCAGAACTTTGAAATAAAAGGTCAAATTCATTCAAGACGGCTTTTTGCTGCTTTTCAGAAATTGATCAGTTGTAACAATTGCTGTTTTCTAGGTCTTTTGTGTTGTCATAATATAGAGAATGAAAAATTGCAAGATGCTTTTTAGTATCGATCATTATCTTTCAAGAGCAAACTGATTTTTCATTAAAGCTAAAGTTGATGGCTCTAAAAAAAAAAAACAACCTAAACCCAAAGAAACAACCCACAGCCAACATCAAAGATACAATAATAAATTGCTCTGATATGCTGTTGATTGTATTTCAAAGTCTGCACAGGCTGAGACTGTGGTCTCATACAAAGTGGATGCTGGACAGTCTCAGACAAACACACATGAATTCCATGCCAGAGCAGGCTGGAAGGCAGAGTTTGGCCTCCTGAGTTTTTCAAAATCATTGGAAATTTCTGTTCCGAATATTTAACCACTTTTTATTTTTCACTCTATTGCAGCGCTTCGGTTTATGAATGTATTACTAAATGATTTGCTGAGGAATTTTAGAATAATGATTTTGTTGTATAATAGACTATGTTGCTATATTAATTCTATTTTTTTTCCTCAGTGAAGCTGTAGAGTCTAATCTGTTCTTCAGAATAACACAATTGACCTTTATATTCCAATATTTTGCTGAGACTGGGGTCTAAAAATTATTGAAAGAGAAGTTGCAGCACTAGATGAATAATTATTTGGTGATTAGTTGAAATATGTCTTCTTACAATGTCCTTCCTTGTATTCTTCTTTCAGCTGAACGAGATATCAATGTTTTCTGTGGAGTACAGACAATTACTATGAAGATAAATTTTTGCACAGTTCTTTTCTCTGGTTATTCTGAGACAGATCTGGCACTGAATGGGAAACATGGGGATGCCCACTGCAGGGGTTTCATCAATAACAACACCTTTCCAGCAGTGGTCATTTTCATAATCAATTTGAGTACTTTGGAATCCTGTGGAAACACTTTAGTGGTAAGACAAAGTGAAATTGTAGCTTGGCTGTTTATGCATAGAATCAAGTGAATGGCCTTGACAGCATTTTATCTTTTATAGATAATACTTACTTTATCTTGCCCAGTTAGAAATACATTGCATACATCAAAGAAAACAAGGGAAAGTAATTAATTTATGATCTTGAATACTAATGAGAAAAAGTGGTATGATAAACATTTGTCCTCTGATTACAAAGTGTATTTTTAATTTTATTGATTTTCTTCAGTGTAAAAAATATTTTTTTTTTCCAAACTATTTCT